AAAAAAAAAAAGGAATTTATATATGCAAGTTTATGTCTAAGAACCGGCTGTGCACTATTTTATAGATTTTAGATTGTGGTTGATGATACTATTGTTCTATGCGTAGCCAATCAATAAACAATTGACCATACATATCGATATGGTCAGTGTCGGAAGAGACCGCAGCGTTCGAATTCTACGTATAAATAGCTTATATGACCTATTATAGGTAGTTGATGAATGATACGTACGTAAGTACGTACGTACGGAGAAAAAAAAAGTTTATATATAAATCGTTTTATCAGAAAAAAAAAACAATCTTTCTTCTAAATTTTTATAAAAATTTTTTTTTTTTTTCCAACTTTTTCCATATTCATTTCACGGCCGTGCACCGCTGAACGGTATACAGCTCTAAGAAATTATTATTTGTAACGACGAATCTTGAGATGTTTTAGTCGGTTAAAATGAACAACCGAACATCGAGCTCAACAAACACGCAAAAGATTAATTACGCACAAGCTGCTGCGCAGCCAAAATCGAAACAAGTGTTGCAACAACATCAAAATTCACATCAAAGCCAGCAGCAGCAACAACAGCAGCAACCACATATTCAGCAAACCGCTGCCACTACACCTTCTAATAATTCTACTTCATCCGTTAACGGAAAATCTTCTACTTCACATCAAAAGCCACAGCCACCACACAACTCGGTAATTGGCAACGGTAACGCTAACACTAACGCTGGGCGATCTGCGCCTACGATCAAAGCTATTCAACAAAAAAATCCAGTACAATTACCAACAAAGGGGCAACCTCGAGAAAATAATGGTGAGTGTTTTTGCACATGTGGTTTTGTGAATATCTAAAATGTTCTTGTTCCAAGATTTCTTAATAAGAATCTACTTTTTTTGAGTGATCAAACTCTCGAAATAAAATTGGGATTTATTAAACTTTATTATTAATATTAACGAATCGAGCTCATTAAATGTTTGTAGGCATTGCAATTCAATTTGGATCATTAAATCAGCCCTCTGCTCTTCCTTTGTCTACCTCTCCGGTAAATAATTCTATTCCTGTAAAGAGTGGGGGCGCTCTTCCTCCGACAGTACCGGAAATCAAAACGGTGTTTGGATCATTACCTGCACGAGGTGCTTCCGAAGAATTGGTACATAATTGAATTCGTTCGTTTTTTAAGATCATTGTATATAAATATGTCGTGATTAATAGACTTAAAATTTATAGGTGCAACCGACGCCGACACCACCAGCTGTTGTTCCTAGTGGCCCTGGTGCTTTTACTACTACAACAACACCAAGGCCTGTAGCTGCACGTATAAATGAAATTCCTCGAACACAATCTGCTCCTCCGCAGCTTAATCTCCAAGATTCAAATAACGTAAAAAATGTAGGTCAACCATCAGGTCATCAGTCGTCTAATATAACGTCTCGTACTCAACCAGTACAAGCGGCGCAACAGTTGCCCACGGCTACACCACATCAACAATCTACCTCAACATCAAACACTCCGCATCATCGTAAGGATTCTGTGTCTTCAACAGTATCATCCAACGATGGTCAACAGAACCAACATTTTCATCCA